GTCAACACTCAAAAGCGTCTGTCGCTTTAACGTATCCTATTTCCTATATCGTATGTCCTGGAGTGATACTTAGATCTATTGCCTAAGTCAACACTCAAATGTCTTCTTAATCTTGCTCTTGCTGCTTAATACTAATAGAGACTGATCTACAGTCTCCTGTGATCGATCTTTGATTCTGGGTGAAAGTGAATTCTGGGTAAAAGTGAATTGATTGCTTCGAAGGGCTCATATGCCCTCCTTTATGCTAATTTGGCCAATACCACTCCATCCAATCAGATCACAGGCTTACTAAGCGCCTGCTGCGCCGCAGCATGCTTACTAATATCCGCAGCAAGCTTACTAATCAGCACAGCCTTGCAACACAGCCCTGTGATACTATAGCAACATGTCTGAGTGCCCACATATTTCCCCTTTTCTGAGGCGTATTTAGACTACTCTGACCGTCTAATCCATGCTATGTGATCATGATAGGGTAGTAGACAGTCAAATGTGTACATAAACAAAACTATTACACTACCAAAAAAATATTTAAATACTAATATGGGTCAGTTCTGAGTACTGGGAAAGAAACTAGCATATCTAAGGATCGGCTACTATGATTGTAGTCACGCAAGTTGTACTCTATAGTAATTGTGAGTGGCTATCTATAGACCACATTCGTGTTTCCCGCATGCATTCTACGCGTCTCGCACCTAATCACTTTAGGGGCGGGACAACGGGCGTCGGGAGCTCCCCGGGAGTCGTATAACGGTGCATCGGCCGGAATCGCAAGGACTTAAACGTGAGCAAGGAGATCCGCCGCGGTGCGTTAGGGTGGCGGCGGTAGAAGTCGCGAATACTGACTGGGGACACGTTTTCCTCCGGTTCCCAAGTGTCCTCGTTAGCCGAATAGCCCTCCCAGCGAACGAGGAACTGCAGCTTTCCTCGGAAGATCCGGGAGTCTACGAGGCGGTCAACCGTCCATTCCTCGACTCCGTCGCGGACGACCGCGGGCGGCGGTTGGTGGTGCCAGGGCCTTCCGGGAATGGTGTCCTCCACGTAGCGACGGAGCTTCCAGACGTGGAAAACGGGGTGGATCTTCCAGGATTCTGGGAGCGTCAGGCGATACGCGTTGCGATTGATCACCTTATTGACAGCGAAAGGGCCGTACCACCGATCGTCCAACTTCTTCGCGGGGCGTTGGGTGCGAATATCCTTCCCATGTAGCCATACCTTGTCGCCTATGCGAAATTCCGAGGGGGCTCCGCGATGCCTGTCGTAGTGCCGGGCCATATCTTCCGCGGCTTGCCGCAGGGCAGCACCCGCTTCCTCCTCGGCGCGCTTCATGCGTTCTGCGAACTCGGAAGCTCCTTCCGCGTGCGGGACCCTCTGAGGCTCCACGCCCATCCGTGGGTGACATCCATAGTCCATGAAGAAGGGGGTCTGACGGGTCGAGGAGTGAACGCGGTTGTTGTAGGCGAACTCGGCGATGGGAAGCCATTCCTCCCAGTCGTCCTGAAGGTGATTGACGTACAGGCGGAGGAACTGCTCGATCTCCTGGTTGACGCGTTCAGTCTGGCCGTCCGATTGGGGGTGGTAAGCCGTGGAGGCCGCTATGGAGATCCCGAGCATTCCGCTCAACTCGCGCATGAGGTGCGACACGAATTGTGGCCCTCGGTCGCTGATCGTGACCTCAGGAAGTCCATGGTGCTTCCAGACCTGGTCGCGGAAGAGCCGAGCGATCCTGAGCGAGGTGACTTCTGACGTGGTGGAAGCGAAATGAGCGCGTTTCCCCTTGCGGTCTACAGCAACAAAGATCGCGTCCTTCCCATTCGAGGCCGGGAGCTCCGTGATCAGGTCTACGGTCACCACCTGCCAACGCCGTTCGGGTACTGCGTTGGGGAGAAGTCGGCCCGAGGGAGCTCCGGGGAACGTCTTGGTGCGGTTGCACGCGTCGCAGCCCTTGACGTACCGGTCGACATACCGGCTGATCCCTGGCCACCAGTAGTTCCTGGAGACGAGTTCGAGCGTTTTCCAACGTCCCGGGTGCCCCGCCACGGGAACGTCGTGATGCAGCTCTACCACCCTCCTTCGAAGTTCCTCGTCTCGAGGAACGTAGACGCGACCGCGGTAGAGCACCAGGTCCTCCTCGAACTGCCAGTCAGGCGCATGATCGATGCTCCGGGAGACTCCGTGGGGCTTCGCCATGGCAGCCTCAACCTCCTTGTCCAGCTCCTTGGCGTTACGAATCCGCCGCAAGATGTCGGCGTCATCCGTGTCGATCGGGACCGCCGCGGGACGAAGCGCTCTGATGAACATCTCAGGGCGTAAGACGACTACGTCCCGGTTGTCGTCGGCGCCTTTGGAGTGATCCGCCCATCGTGATAGCGAGTCTGGACGGCCGGAGAGACGTCCTGGACGGTGGTGGAGCGTGAAGTCGAATCGGGAGAGGAAGAGGGACCAGCGCGCTTGCCGACGGTTCAAAGACTTCGCCGTCTGGAAGTATTCGAGATTCTTGTGGTCTGTCAGAATCTCGAACGGCTCCCGGGAACCCTCAAGGAAGTGCCGCCATTCCTCGAGAGCCCGAATGATGGCGAGGAGCTCCTTGTCGTGGACGTCATAATTACGCTCGGGAGGGGAGAGGCCCTTGGACATGTAGGCGATGGGGTGGAGGATCCCGTCGTCTCCCATCTGCGAGAGGATGGCCCCGGTGGCAAAGTTCGAAGCATCTGTCTCGAGGTGAAACTTGCGGTCGTCCCTCGGAGCTACCAGGACCGGTGCGGAGGTGAGCGCCTTCTTCAGGTCTAAAAAGGCGTTACGCTCCTCGGGGCCCCATACCCACGGAGCGTCCTTCTTGGTGAGCGCATGGAGCGGTCTGGCGATGTGAGAGAAGTCTCGGATGAAACGGCGGTAGAAGTTGCAGAAGCCGACGAAGGACTGCACTTCCTTGACGTTCCGCGGTTCAGGCCACTCGGAGACTCCTCGCACCTTGACAGGGTCCATCCCAACGTGCCCATGGGTGATCACCAGTCCTAGGTACTCCACCGTCATCCTCTCAAACTCGCACTTCTCGGCCTTCAGGTACAGCTTATGCTTGCGGAGCACCGCCAGTACCCGTCGCACAGCGTCCCCGATGCTCCTGGAGCGTCTCCGTGA